GGGCCTGCGCCCGGCTGGTTCCCTGGTGGCGGGGCAGCCTCGCCAGCCTCAGCCGCGACCCAGCACGCCGGGAGGCGGGGGGCTCTCAGGCACTCGCTCATCCTTATGGCTGAAGACAAACAGATCCTACATATCTCCAGGCAAGCTTGGGTCTGGGAGACCCCAGCAGTGCCCGGCACAGCCGGTTGCAGGCGCTTCTGAGGAGGAGGAGATGGTGAGGAAGAACAGGCTCTTCTCCCATTGCTGGAGACCTGTGTGCCCAGGAGGCCTGAAGGTCTTTGTAGGGACTCTAGAAAAAGGTGAAGGCTCAAGACCGTCAAGATATTCAGGCATTTGGTTCCCATGCGTTTAGGAGCTCAGTGCCAGGGTTTGCCAGGAACGGGCCACCACAGTGGAAACGGGGTGGGCTAAGGGGGTTTCCCGCAGCACATCAAACACCCCCCGCCTGACTGCACATCAAAGGCATCATCTCAGCACCGTGCAGAGGACACCAACTCCCTCTATGGAAACCCTGCTCACTGCTCGCCTCCCTTCCCGGGATCCTTGGCCACCCCGGCCCTGGTGCACCCCTCCGGCAGTGCCCCCACGCCTGCCCCACACTTACCTCGGGCAGACAGCTTCTTGGTGTTGATGATTTTGGCTGCATACTCTTGTCCTGCCAACACCTTCACGCATCTCCGGACGATGGAGAAAGCGCCCCTGGGAAGACAAGAAGCCAAAGGGATGAGTGAAGGGCTCGGCACGGGCAAGGAACCAGCGACAGCCCCACGGCGCCTCCCAGGGCGAGGAAGGCAGCGACAAGCGAAAGGTGGTGGATGGGCGCTGGCTCAGACAGGGCCTCGGGGGCTTGGAGAGCAGAGGAGAAAACGCAGTGAGAGCTCGGGCAGTTTCCTGGGACCTCTCTCCTCGGGGGCATGTGGGCACAGGTCGGACCTGGGGATAAATGCAGCATTTCCCCCTCTTCTCCGTGCTTGCCTGGCACATACGCACCTTTTCTCCTCTCCCTACAGCCTCTGCCTCATCTATCATCCAAGAGACAAACAGCAGTGATTTACCAGGAGTATTGGCTCCT